CCAAAAGAAAAAACCCCATTCTTTCCCTCTTTACTATTCAACCTGCTCATTAGGGGCACAGCTCCAGGAAACTGACCAAAAGCGCCAGGTCTGAAAATTATTGATAATCCTTTTCATTTGTGTTCTAATTATAATGCCCCTTGTGGAGCTGAGCTGACGTTGACTGGTGTAAGTGATGCCTGTCGGGAAGAGGGATTGAGTTTCCCCTCCATCTTCCAAACAGCTGAGTCATCCATTATTTAAGGAAGAGAAATATTGCCAAAGACCAAACGTCATGCTCAAATTAATTACCAACCTCTGTGACGCTCAGGTGTGGGGTTCTGTACCTGCGGTTGCTTTTGGTAAAATACCTTTTCAACATCAGTGAAGAGGCAAGAGCTGCTTGGCTGGAAGCCCTTGCTGAATGCAGACGATGCCTTACGTGCAGAACAGCACTGCCTTCGACTCGGTCGTCGCGACAAGGAAGGAAGCCCTTTCCTTTCTCAGGGGTGCGGCGGCAATTGGGAGTGTTAGCGCAGTGTAAACACGGGGTTTGCATTTTCAGGTGTGCCCAGTGACTTCAAAGACCGAGGACCCTATGAGAGTGGCCCAGGCCAGCGAAAAGTCTGCAGGTTCAAGCTGGAGTGGCTGGGAAACTGCTCTGGAATAAATGATGAGTCCTATGGCTACAAAGACGGCAAACCCTGTGTCATCATAAAGCTCAACCGAGTTCTGGGCTTCAAACCTAAGGCAAGTAATACTTTCAATCACAGAATTTATTTATTTTTGGCTTCTTTAAGACCTTTATTCAAATATAGCTCAACATACAATGTTAGTTTCAGGCATACGGCATAGTTATTCAACATTTAATACACCTAGATCGTAGCATTTAGATGAGCCACTCACATTTTGGATGAAGCCCTTACTGGGCATGAGGAGAGACCACGTATATATAAGGAAGTTTTCAAGTATATCTTTGAAGTCCACTCCGTAGAGTGACATTAAACACTTCTGTCCCCACCTTGGAATCCTTGCAGTTTGTCACTAATCTCATTTTCTAGCGTGAGAGACATTCTGAGTGGCAGAGCCAAATTCTGAAGTGAGCCTGGGGCCCTGCTCTCGGTGCTTCTGCTCAGCATCCAGAGAACAGGTTTTATAGTGTGAACGCTTCAAAAGCAAAAACAGGAAAAGATACTTTAAAATGTAAAAGCCACCTGCACATACAGTCATGTTGTGGTTTGGGTCCCCCTGGAGAGCCAGAGTGTTTCAAAAAGTTATTTGGTTATCTGAAAAAACAAAAACAAAAAAAACCCTTTTTTTTTTTTTTTCTGAACGAAGATTTCATTGCCAAATCAGAAGTTGAATGCTGTCTAGGTTGAACTTTGATAACCATAACTCTTGGCTCGTGGCACTCGTGCCACTTAGAATGGGTGGACATTCCTTGAGATCACGGGACGATGGCCTTGTTGGTAAGATAAGAGGGATTCTTTAAAAGATGGAAGCATTTATCAGGGGGTGTGTCTGCTTTCAGGAAACAGGCGTTTCATTCTCTCCTTGAGCTCCTGAGTAAAGGGTGCAGTCTTTTTCCTCAGCATGGATTCTTCCAGCTGGTTCCCCCCAACCGCCCTTGCAGGCGTTGCCGTTACAGGTGTACGTTTCGTTCCGATAGGAATTGACTGCAGCACGCTGAGTTAGAAGAGCAAAACTCACTGCGTTCCTGGAATTGAGCTCTTTTGGTCATTAATCTTTTATTATAGTCTATTGATTTGTTTCCACAATGCTTGTTAACCATGGGTAATATTTTCAAAAGAAAACGCCATATTTGCTTAAGGAGAGCGTCAGCCGTCCTTGATGGCCACCAGTGGCAGGAATGGCCAGCCGGCCAGCCGGATCCAGCAGAAATGAATGTGCCTCTAGACAGAATGTTAACCTTCATTCCACGTAGACTCGTTCATAATGGACGGAAAACCAAACTCATTACGTCACACTTAGGGTCTGCCGTTCCTACTCCACTCCCAGAGAGCTCCCCACCGAGACCCATCAGCTCTTTGGCGGTGAAGGGCTGCGTGGGTGCGGCGTGGCCAGAGGAAGGCTCCCCCTCACCTGTGCCCTGGGTCCCTCACTTTGTCATTCTCTGCACAGATGAGCGGTGTCCGCACCCCACAGAGGCAGCTGTCGAGTCTCTGTCTGCTTCTAGGGAGATAGATACTCTGTTAGGTGATGAGTTCGGTTCTCTCTCTTTTCAGTCCTCTTTTTTTTTTTTCCCTTTTTTATTTGGTCTCCAGTCGCATACCCCCTTGCTACTTTCTAATTCATCAGCGCACCCCAAGCCCCCACCTGTTTTGTTGCTGGGATTGTCTTCGTCAGGGGTCCCAGTGCCCAGCCGCTTACCTCCTGTGCCTGTTTCCTCATCCCCTGAGGATGGAGTCTGGTAGCTTCTTCATCAGTAGGCATTTCTCTTCATGTTCGTAAAGCTGCATCAGTGGCTGGCAGCAGGTTCCACGGGATCAGATCTATGTTCACTCACTGGGATTTGCTGTGGTAGCACAGAAAGGAGTTGCCAGCTGCTCTAGGGATCATGCCTTTGGTCTGACTTTGGGTGGACCGTCATTTGGTGACATGTCACCTCAAGACGCGCGTGCTGTGCCGCTGTGAGCCCGTTCAGGATGCTCCCCGTAGGCCTCCTGCGGTGGCCTGGGGTGTGGGAAGAACGGCTCTGGAGATGTCACTCCACAGCTGTTTTCACAGTGTACTCTGGGTCCGTTCAAGACCCCTTCCTTTAAGGCAGTGCCACCATTATCTGTTTCCATACGGGACTTGCCTGACAGAACTGGAAAGGCTCCTTAAATGGCAGTGACGTCACTGGAAATCGGGGGGGGGGGGGGGGGGGGGGGGAGCCTGCTTGAAGAAGGCACGCTGGAGGGGAAGCGAGGATGGGGTTATTGGTTCATGGCTCGGGAGGCAAGCCCGAGTTTTACAAGAACAGAAATGCCAACCAACTTTTCCATCCAATTATCATCATCTGAGCAAACGAGGAGCGTTGCTTCCGGGTTGGCCCTTATTTCTCAGCGCCCTTGAGTGCAGCTTACACTGGGTTCCCGGTCGAAGCTCCACTCCGTCCTGGGCTGCCTCATGGCTTAATTGTAGGGGTCACAAAACCTGGGCACTGATTTTCACTTCGCCAGAATCCCAGCGTGTCCTTCCCCAGACTGGCCATTCTGCCGTCCGCAACGGTGCTGCTGTTCCAGTTGACTTATCACCAGCAGTGTGTACTTGCTGGGGCTACAGACGACTTTTAGTTTTCAGAAATTCAAAAACATAGATTGACAAACGTACTGACCAGTGTGGGCCTTATTTTAGCCTCCAAAGAATGAGTCGTTGGAGAGTCTCGCCATAACGAAGTACAACCCCTACGTGCTGCCTGTTCAGTGCACCGGCAAGGTGAGGCGCCTGCGCGGGGGCGGAGGGCGGCGGAGGGCGGGGCTGAGGGCGGCGGAGGGGGTTTCGATGTGGGGACCAAGCACTGCTTCCAGGAATCAGTCTCAGGCAACTGAGTTGTAGGTCCGCTGAGGAAAGCTGCTTAAAAGAACAGAAAGATGTGACAGGGAACCCCATGTCAGTTCCTCCACTGAAATAGCCTGAATTCAGTAAGTTGGGGCAGGGGGGGTCACTTTCCAGAACCGAGGGGTGACCCAGCCCCCACAAGCGCTTCTCTGGCCCAGATGGTGCATTAACAATTTGAGGCCAACCTTTTTTTTTTAATTGACAATTTTACATGAAAAAATTTGTGTTTGGTTTTTTGTTATGAACTATTAAGGGTAACAATCAACACATGTTCCCTTGAGCTCTAAAAAGCGGTGCCTGATGGCTGGTTGAGAGAGGGCAGAAGGAAGGAACGGGGTCCGTCCCCAAACAGCCCCGCGTTGTGCTGGCACCAAGAATACGGCAGGCCAACAGTTCATTTTTGGAGATAATCGCTCTAGAAATACCATCCGCGGGACCAGCACCGAAGCATTTGTTTCAGTGTTGGCCCTGTTTCTAGGAGGGTGTGTTGGCTCCGAGAAATTCTTGCTTGGCCTTGGTCTCAGTTTCCATTTGTACACTGAGAACAGCCTCCTTCTACGACTGTGTCACATACCTGTACCGTGTCCCCCAGAGGCTAACGTCCACCTGCCTCCGGGCTGGAGGATGACGGCGTCCCTCTAGCAGTGGCGTGCAGGCTGCTCTGGGGGGGCCGAGTCCCGTTTGCATGTGTGCCTTTCAACGCTCATTTCCTCCGGTTTTTAGCGAGACGAAGACAAGGACAAAGTCGGAAACGTGGAGTACTTCGGGATGGGCGGCTACCCGGGCTTCCCCCTGCAGTATTACCCCTACTACGGCAAGCTCCTGCAGCCCAACTACCTGCAGCCCCTGCTGGCCGTGCAGTTCACCAACCTCACCGTGGACACGGAGATCCGCATAGAGTGCAAAGCGTACGGTGAGAACATCGGGTACAGCGAGAAAGACCGCTTTCAGGGACGCTTTGATGTGAAAATCGAAGTTAAGAGCTGATCACAAGCACAGACCTTTCCCACTAGCCATTTAAAAAGTTAAAAAAAAAAAAGATACAAAAACCTACTAGTCTTGAACAAACTGTCATACGTATGGGACCTACACTTAATCTATACGCTTTACACTAGCTTTCTGCATTTAATAGGTTAGAATGTAAATTTAAAGTGTAGCAATAGCAACAAAATATTTATTCTACTGTAAATGACAAAAGAAAAATAACAAATTGAGCCTTGGGACGTGCCCATTTTTACTGTAAATTATGATTCCATAACTGACTTGTAGTAAGCAGTGTTTCTGCCCCTAAGTATTGCTGTGTATTTTATCGAGTGTGCAGTACACTAGGTGCGCACTTTGGTCATTTTTTCAAGCCATGTTTTATCGTATCTGTTTTCTACTTTATGTGAGCAAGGTTTGCTGTCCAAGGTGTAAATATGCAATGGGAATAAAACTGGCATGGTACTTTGTTTTTCTTTTTTTGGTTGGGGGGTGGGGGTTGGCTCTTTCACAGATAGTGACCCATCAATGAGTATTTTTAACACACTCCGTAGTCTTTCCTGTGGTGTTAGGTCTTTTCTTTCTTGCCCCCTGGGGCTGGTGGGGGGGTGGGCTGGGCTGTCACAGGGGAACTCCCATTCAATTTTAAGTGACACTACAGAGAAACCCGGAAGTGAGGGGTAGCGTCGGGCTTTGTCGCGAATGCTGTCTTGCCATCTTCTCACCTTGTCCTCCAGGATGCTCTGAAGCTGTGTAGGAGACCTGGCTCTCCCATCACTTTGGCCAGTGATCAGGCTAGTTGATTTGCTTTGTACATTTTCTTTGACTCCTTTTTTCCTTTCCTCTGGAGGCATCACTTGCTGGTGCTGTGTCTTCATGAATGTTTTAACCATTTTCATGGTGGAAGAATTTTATATTTATGCAGTTGTACAATTTTATTTTTTTCTGCAAGAAAAAAAGTGTAATGTATGAAATAAACCAAAGTCACTTGTTTGAAAAATAAATCTTTATTTTGGACTTTATAAAAAGCAAACGCAGTCCCCCATAGACTGGTGTTCCACGTTGTCTGCAGTGCAAATCCATGTCCTAACATATGTAACAATTGCCAGGATTCAGTGCTCTTGTCGACCTTGTATTCAGTCAGGTGAAAACAATGGACAATAAAAGAATGAACATTCCTCACGTGCACGAGTCACTCTTGTCTAAATGCCCCAGTCTGGGCCTTCCTTACTTCCTCCACTGCTAGTTATCCAAGATCTTGAAGAAATACTGAACCTGAAAGACAAACATGGTTTCATTACAGTTCCAACGGGGGTTCGATCTTTTGCACCTCAGAGGCCAAGAGCTGGGTCAGGACACCGGATGCCAAGCACACCCCTTTCCAGAGAGGCGGGAGGTCAATGGGGGCAGACATCCACCGATGACATTGTAGTTTAAAGTTCAGAAACATTTTGCAGTTCTACTCAGCGTAGAAAACATGAAATAGTGTTTCCTGCTAGTGCTACCCTGGATATGTCTGTTTTAAAAAAACATGAGGTTAGGTTTGAGGGTCCATAAATTAAGACGGTTCATACATACCTTGCTTTTGGGTTCATGGTTTGGCCTGAGTCCTTATTTAGCCATATTTAAAAATTAGCCTCAATGACAAGATAAAAAGAGAGCTTTTGAAAAGCATTTTCCAGGTAACAGTGAGCTGAAGATTTAGTATCACTTAGCCAACATGGGAACTGCCCAAACGAAAATCATGGCATCATATTTCTGAAAATGGAAACCTTCTGTGCAGCCCGTGCAGCCACAGCTCAAGCAAATCCTGCCTCAGGCCAGTCCTGAGAAATCCCTTTGGTGTGAAGCTGAAACGCCTCTGCAGGATGGACAATACTGTCCATGGCAGACCTATTGTTACAATGTCCTTAACTCCCTAAAGTAGTACATGGAGAGACAGACCAGAAACAACAGTAGCAGCTTCAATCCCCCCACACACACACCCCAAATGCCTCACATTTTCCATCCTGCTGATCTTCTCTTGTTTATTCTTTAAAAATATTACCTGAGACTTGGTTATCTCTAGAGCAGTCAGTCGTGTGATGGCAAATTCATACCAGAGGAACAATGACTCCATTTAACAAAACACAACAAAGGGAACTGGCTGGAAAGGTTTTAGGAGCCCTGCTTAACATTTGAGGAAACACAGCAAAACCTATAAACAAACAACATGGCTACTCAGGGCTACCTGGCTACAAAAAACACACACACACACGTAGAAATCCACGGTACCATTCCTGTAACAGGATGGTCTGTCTGGCTGAAACAGCAACTCATTTTGCAGGGAGTATGTGAGTCTTACAAGTATCGTGTTTATGAACAAGATGGGGAATGGCTTCGGGTCTGAGAAAAGGAGCATTGACTGAAATTGGAGGGTGGTTGGCATTTTTGAGGCTGTTCTCACGTCACAACCTTGTTTAGGTGAACTTGACCCAGTGCACCTTCTGTTCTGAGCCGTTACGGATGTGTGCTCTGCCTGTCACCTTCCAGGTTCTGTCAGAACCCTGCTTCTCTATAACCTCTTCAGGCGGTGCCAACCTGCTCCCCACCAGCGATCCTTAGGGTTTTGTCTCCACGAGGAGATAAAGGAGTGGGGTGTGTATTCTCTGAATTAATTGGTATCGGCTGACCGCCTGCTCTGTGCCAAGCACTCTTCTAACAGCGAGGAACAGAGACACAAGTGAAGAACACACAGATTTATCTTCTTTGCAGGTCACGTTAAGTACTTGCATGGTTTTGGAACTCTTGTTTCCATCCTCCCTGCACCAGCTAGACACACACAACATGGTCCCCTAATGGATGACAAAGCCACAATATCAGAGACTGGGTGCCTGAGTCACCAAGGGGAGGAAAACTGACTTCTAACATGTATTGGGTTGTCAGAAAAGTCATGACACATTTTTGCAATGAAAACCAGAAAAAAATACGTCATGACTTTTCCGACAACCCAATAGTTTCAAACTTTTTATCTTAGTAAGAAATAACCTTTTATTGTTAAGCCACTGAAATCTTGGGGTTTATTTGATAATGCAGCAAATACCTTTTTTTTTTTAACCGAGGTTAGGTTTAATGAGGTTAGGTTTGAGGTTAAAGACCTGTACTCTGTAAGCTGTAAGACTCTGAAGAAAGATACTGAAGAAGATTCAAATAAAGGGATGGATATACCTTGCTCATGAATCAGAAGGATTAACATTGCTAAAATGCCCTCACCGCCTAAAGCAATACATAGATTCGATGCAATCGCTTATTGAAATACCAATGGAATTAGACTCAGAATTACAACTAATTCTAAAATTAGTATAGAACCACAAAATATCCTGAATAGCCAAAAAAAATCCTGAGTGAGAAAAAAGTGGAAGGTATCACGCTCCCTGATATCAAACTATACTACAAAGCTATAATAATCAAAACAGTAGTGTACTGACATAAAAAGAGTTATATAGATCAATGGAATAGAGAGCCCAGAAACAAATATTCATTTATATAGTCAATCTATGACAAAGGAGGCAAGGATGTACAATGGGGTGAAGACAGTCTGTTCAATAAATGGTGTTGGAAAAACTGGACAGACAACACTTGCAAAAAAAAAAATTGGACCACTTTCTTATACCATATACAAAAATAAAATGGGTTAAAGCCTTAAATGTTAGACCTGAAACCATAAAACTCCTAACAGAAAACATAGGCAGTAAACTCTTTCACACTACTCTTAGCAACATCTTACTGATATATCTCCCAGAGCAAGGGAAACAAGAGACGAAATGAACAAATGGGACTACATTAAACTAAAACATTTTGCACCGCGAAGGAAACCATTAACAAAACAAAAAGACAACCTACTGAGTGGGAGAAGATATTTGCAAATGATACAACCGATAAGGGGTTAATATCCAAAATGTATAAAGAACTGATGCAACTTAATGCCAAAAAAAAAACCAATCTGATTAAAAAATGGGCAGAGGACCTGAATAGACATTTCTCCAAAGAGGACATACAGATAGGGCAACACACACATGAAAAGATGCTCAATGTCACTAATCATCAGAGAAGTGCAAATAAAAACCACAATGGGATATCACCTCATACCTGTCAGAATGGTCATCATGAATAAATCAACAAACAACAAATGCTGGTGAGGATTAGAGAAAAGGGACCCCTTGTGCACTGCTGGTGGGAATGTAAATTGGTGCAGCCACTATGAAAAACAGTATGGAGGTTCCTCAAAAAAATTTATAATAGAGCTGCCATAAGATTGAGCAATTCCACTTCTGGGTATTTATACAAAGAAAACAAAAACACTCATTTGGAAAGATACATGCACCCCCATATTCACTGCAGCATTATTAGTAATAGCCAAGATATGAAGCAACCTAGGTGTCCATTAATAGGTTACTGGATAAAGGTCACACACACACACACACACACACACACACACACACACACAGAGGAATATTGTTCAGCAATGAAAAAGAATGAAATCTTAACCACTTGTCACAACTTGAGTGGACCTAGAGGGTATACGCTATGTGAAATCAGTCAGAGAAAGTTAAATACCATATGATCTCACTTATATGTTGAATCTATAAAAACAAATGAGTAAAACAGAAACAGACCCATAGCGATAGAGAACAAGTTAATGCCAAACGGTAGGAGGGTTGGGGGATGGGAAATGAAGGAATGAATGAGTGAATAAGGAACTCTTGCCTTTTATACATTTATCAGTTCTTTCTCTTATCCGTTTACTCCATCCCTTAGTAGATGACACACTTCTTGGGTGTTGGGATAGCGTCATCTACCTTCATGGTATTCTTATCACATCTTACAAAGGGGTTTTCACACAAGTCCAGCCAATCAAATACATAATTCCTTACACAGAATATACAGGGAATGAGTTTTTCAAAGGCTGTATTTTTCAAAGGTGGGCTGAGTACCACTTGGGAACAAAAGCATTAGTAAGGATTACATTAGAAAAAGGGGAGACAGGCCTTGGATTCAGAACCTTTGGCAAGCAATACTATCCTGCTAGAATTCAATAACTTGTTTTCATTGTATTTATTTTATTACCTCCAATTAAGGACAAGTAATGCTAATTTTCCATTTATGGCAGCAAAATAAATTTACTTATGTATAATAATGTACGTACTGAAAGAAAAATAGTAAATAAAATTTCAGTTGGTCCTCAAATGTGGTAAAAATCATGAAATGATAAATGGCTGACTAAAATTTAAGTACCTTTGCTCAAAATACAGCGTTAAAAGAAGCCAAGGTTTTCGGTTCTGAACCTGTTTGGGCAATATCTAATTTGAACTCTATGTTAGAACAATAGCACGCCCTGTCTGCTGAGGCTGCATTTATTACCAGAGGGAACTGCTCCAACTCCAAATTAAAAACGTTATCAGTGATCAGAGACAAAAATCCAGTTATCAGAATCTTTCACAGTCCAACGATAGCTCAAACTCCTGGCTTTTTAAAGGATTAGTAACACTTCAGTATCAGTGAACATTTGGCCCATGGAGGAGAACTAAGCGAGGTTACTTTGAAAATCCAGGACTACGGAGCTTATGAATACAGAGGGAAACTGCAAGGAGCATTGAAGAACAGTTTTAATTGAGTAGAGTGATCTTGGTTTCAAATTCAGCAGAAAAGCCTCTCTTTTCTGCTTTGGGAGGGGTCCGTGTTACCCAGACGTTTACCTGCTGCCCTCTAGGCTCCACTCCGGACAAGAGGACCAGGAGATGGAGAGGTGAGCCTGTGCGTCTCTCATGAGCACCCACATCCTACCCACCGTGGGACACAGAGGGCTGGGCGGAGGCAGGTATCTTGGCTCGTGTTTTAATTCTGTATTTTTTTCTCAGAGATGGTCGGCCTCAGCCTGAGAGATTAAGTATCTCATTAAGGTAATGACTACAGAATACAGCTATGTTGTTTAGCCACAAGTGAGTCCCACACCCTAAGGCCCTCGTCGTAGTAAAACTGTGAGGCACAAGCTCCCGCTCGCTTCACCACAGCACCTTAGCTAAGCTGGGCTTTCATAAAATGGGGACTCTTGCAACTACCTTTCCCAAGGAAACCCGTACCTTCCTCTAGTGCTGGCCCTGCCTACACGGACCAGGTGGGAGGCGGCACATGGGTGACTTGAAAGCTGCCTAGTCAGCCAGCCCCAATGCCTGACACAGCGCTGGATCAGTCCTTTGGCTTAAGTGCTTCAGCTAACGGAAGTCTGGGCTCTCAGA